TATTTTTAAACTTTAAAACATTTAAAAAAAATATAAATTTTTTTTTCATTTGATTTCTTTTACTCAATTTAATTATTTTATTGTAAATAATTAAATTTGAATTTTAAAAAAAAAAAAAAAATAAAAAAAAATAAAGAAAAGCTTATTAACAGAAGTAAGTATTATTAAAAAAAAGTGATAAGGTTTTATTATTATAAGATTTTTTAAAAAAACTTATTTAAAAAAAGTAATTAAAGAATTAGTAAAAGAATAAAAATATTATCTAGAATATATTAATTATTGTAACAATATCTAATTAGAGGCAAATACAAAAACAGACAATGCTTAGAAATAGTAGAACAATTAAAAAATAAACAAGTTTGAGCATAAAGCTAAAGTTGATTCTCATTGAACATAAAGATATTGAAGCAATCTTCGAAAGTAATAATTCATAAGCTACAAGGTAACAATAGAGTCAATACAGTTTAAAAAGAGAAAAATATCATAACCATTTTATTCTACTGAAACTATAAATACAGTTTCAAAAAAAAAAAAAGATTTTTTTTTTTATTATAATTTTAAAAGTTGACATAAATTTAAATAGCAATTTAATAATCAAAAGATACTTACAGTAGCTGGCAATAACTTATATATTAATCTATTAATAATGTACTAATGACATGTTTGTCCTAATTTGATAAAGCTAAGGTAGATATACCATTATGACCTGATTGCAGATTAAAAAAACATTGTTTTATAAAACTCAATATTATTTTTTGCTTGCAATTAAGATTCAGTCCTTCCATTTTCAGCTTTTAAAATATCCTTTAATTCTTCGGCAAGAATTCAAAATAGTTATCAAATTTCCTGCATTTGTTGTACTCTGTTAAACGAGGAGTACAAAATACTTTCGCTGAAGTATTCTACCTCAGTAAGGACGTGATTTATTAATTGCTTTTTTTTTTTTTTTGTTATAATGGACTACACTCAAATCTCGGGTACATTGATCTAGATAATTTAAACGAGATTAAATTTTGTTCGGTCATTGGCAGACGGGAATGAGAATTGGAGATCTAGTGATGTAAGGAAACAAACAAAAGAAAGCCTCTATCCACATTTTACCATATATGACAGCGTTCACTGTTTTCCCTGCGCCTCACGCGCTTCTTCAGCAAACTACGCCCGAGTATGGAAAGTTCTCCCGTATCTTTTCAAAGTTCTTTGCTGGTGTCCAGGGTTAATGCTGCCTTCATTCTGAAGTTAGATTTCAAAGAATGCGCGAACATTTATAGTTTAGATAGGAATTTAAAAAGTTTTATGAATGAAAATATTCAATTTCCCGTAATGCACCGCAATCATGTTTGCAAGGGTCTCTAAGCCTATTCACGATAAGCCTTTATCTTGTGAACGATGATTAAATAAACAGTACATTCCTTAGTAACCTTAGATATGCTTTTCAGTGTTTTATGGATTCTAATCAAGTATATTATTTTGATTGAGAATGTCAGATAATTCGGACGGGAAAAAGACGACTCCTCATTTAACAACGACAGAACCCTCGGAAGAACACCATGTAGAAATCCCAATCCTAGAAGAGGTCGGTTGCAATTCATTATAACGTTCACGCGCACGCATTACATTACGCTCATCACTATCCTCGTGCAAAAGCATGATAGAACCAAAAAATCATCTAAACCTGGGGAAAACTTGCTCTCCTCGCTAATCCCTTCCACAATCCTCTCGCACGTAGGCCCAAAACGCAAATCATTTGCCATGGACATTGGGAATGACGGTTTGGAGGTGAAAGAAATTATTGTAATAGAAATCGAAGACCACAGAAGTTTACATTTGTTGAATCAAGAGGATAAGAAAGTTTATGAGAGAATGAAAGAATGGATGGAAAAAAATCCGAAAGCAACTTTACAGGACACGGCGGATCAATTTTGTAAGTCGTGTTGTGATTTCTATCGATCTCTCATCAAACTTCCTTATACTATACAACAAATATATTAATAGCGTCCGAACGCAGTGGAGATGCTATAGCAAAAGTCTTACATAATTTTCAGTTCCCGGATTATATGCTAAAATTTCGACTTGAAAAACATGACATACTACTAAAATTTCGACATGAGGAATACGAAAAACGGGAGCTAGAAAGGCAGCGCAAAAGAAGAAATTTTGAGAGGCTATTATTGAGGGCCGGGCTTATAATTGAGGTAGAAAACGATGCGGCCAACAATGAAGACTTTTTTGTAAAGATATATGCACCGTTTCAAAAGCTATGTGAAGAAGCTCAACAAATCAAATTAAAGATGAGATTAAATGTAAGTTCAAAAAAAAAAAAAGAATGTCGCATTTTATTTATACATTAATAACAACATTGATCGCAATGCGTAGATGGAAAGCATGGCGGGTCTCGACATCGTGGAAAAAAAATCAACTATATATTCAAATATTACCAAGCATTTTAGTCATAGCTTGAATCTTAAAAAGCAAGCCGCGTTTTTTAAGGTGGACAAGTTAAGTCAATTTGAAGGTGGCGAGCGGAACAAATCAATGGGTGAAATAATGGTGAACTTTTTTTCAACAGCGCGAAGAAATTTATTGGTAGGTGCGATGGTTTCAGCATGCCCCGCTTGAGTGCACACAGTAAATAACTCTCTACACATTACGCCCATAGGTCCATCGAATGATAGTGACAGCTAATCAAATCAACAGCAAACACGTAGTGCCCAATGAAGCTCCAATAATGGTCAAAAAAAAGATTTCTTCCTTGGCGATAAAACGTTTAATAGACGAAAAGGTTTATACAAAATACTATCCGCTGCATGATGGTCCGGCTAAAGTCGCAGACAGCGCGCCTTTATCAGAGACGAACACCCGAGCATATTTATACGAAACATGGGTGAAGGGTCGAAGTGCACAACCATTGGAAAAGATTAGAAGATACTTCGGAGAAAAGTTGGCTCTCTATTTCGCTTGGCTAGGTTTGTGATTGTATTTCATCATACTAAACATCCGGCAGTACCATTTATCACGTATTTTTATTACACGTATAACGTCAATTTAAGGATTTTACACTACATGGTTAACCTTGTCTTCCGTTGGTGGATTGATCGTTGTCTTGTATGGATTGATTGCAGCCGTGAGGTGAGTGACGAGACCAAGTACCTGGCCTGGTATTTAGAAGTGAAAATGAGAATATAACATGGTGGATGTCGATCCATAGCATGGGATCTTTTGATGAAGGCTTAAGCGGAATTTCCGTAATCTGGGACAACGCGTTAACTGTGCCTTACGCTTTTCTTATGGCTATTTGGGGTATGTGAAATGTGATCGTAAGAAATAATTGAAAGAGAAACGAATTAATTGCCTATTTGCTTTTGTCTCATTGAATGTGTTTCAAAAGCAACTTTATTTCTCGAGACTTGGAAACGGACGTGCGCTTCGATTCAATATGACTGGGACGTGGTGGATTTTATAAAAGAGGTTAGTCCGATCATTCTCATGTGTATGCACCACGTTTAAGCGATTGATTGATTATTTTCTCTTTCAAGGAATTACCGCGGCCTGAATTTATTGGGACAGGTAACAAATTCTTTCTTTAAACACATGTTTGAGAATTAATTACGAAATTTACTTTGAAAGTAGATGTCACAGATATACAGTAGACGTTTTCTTACCCCTTGCTTAAATAACATAATATAAAATAAAACGGAATAATAA